TATGGCTAGATCATAGTAACCGCCTGACTGATGGTCCAGTCAAAAGATCCCCGGACAGAGCTCCGGCAACAAGCCTTGTGGGTGAGTATGATCCATATATCTTGAGAGCATGTATACTAATGGGAGACCGAGGTGGTCATGTGTAAAAATAACCTTAGAGAATGTATAAAGGTACCTGCAGCATGATCCGGTCATAAGAGCCTCGGAGCAGAGCTCCAGTACAGAAGTCATGGGGGTGAGTACGATCCAAATACCATGATATCTGTATATTGAGGACGGACGGCTGTGTGTGCGTAACCTTCTATAGTTCCATTGCAGTGTTTCCCGGGACCTGTACGTTTCTGTCCCTTGCTAGACGCCCTCGGTGAGGTGCCGTTGCTGGGCTCAGAAGCCAGGTGCTCTACTTGCAGTAGGCGTTCACTCGTCGACATATGTCCAGGCGGGGGGATAAAAAGCTGGACTCCGGCTTCAATCCTCCTGGAGCATGCGGCCAAACACGGGTTTTTGTGGGATCCTTCGTGAACATCAGGCCCCCGGGGCCACGCTGCGATGCACCCGGATTGGGCTACAGTGCCTGGGCGCCCCGAGGGGCTTCCTGGCCACCGGCGTATTCCGTCTTGCTGAGGCAACGGACGGGAGGTACAGGGGGCATCACCAGGATCCTCCTGTGTAAGGCTGTCTTAGGCAGAGCTCCCATCATCACTGAGATGTGTGAGCCGGCCGCTTCCAGCAGGCCGATATGGTCGGGTTTCCATGAACTTAAAATCCAGATAATATGGTAAGATGTCCACGTAAAGCAAGGCTTTGCGCATTTCTCTAAATCCACGTGAGTGGTAAATGTGCACGTGAAGCTTTGCGCATTTTTCTAAAATCCACATAGCTGGTAGATGGGCACGTGTTGCTTTGCCCATTTTCTAAAATTCCACGTTGGTGGTAAATGGGCACGGGATTCTTTGCCCATTTCTCTAAAATCCTGTGAAGGTAAGGGTTACGCGTGCTGTCTTCGTTCCCTTTGTTTCAGAGTGGGGTAACACCCCGGTACCCTGGGTCCCACTTAAATGGTGTGTCTTGGTCGACACACCCTGGAGACATCACTCCTCTGAGGAGGGTGCTGGAGCTGCTGTTCCCGACCGGCCATTACGTCCGGGTGACATAGAACCCTAAGGAAATCCGGAGATTAGGGTAAGAGTGCTCATATTGCGCACCTTCTAAAATCCACATGAGTGGTAAGTGTGCACGTTATCCTTTGCCACTTTCTAAAATCCACGGAAGTGGTCGGTGGGCACGTGAGGCTTTGCCACCCGTCTAAAATTCCACCCAGGTGGTAGGTGTGCACACTATGCTTTGTCACTTCTCTAAAATCCCACGAAAGTGGTATGTGCGCACGTTCTTCTTTGCCCACCTCTCTAAAATCCTGTACGGTGAGGGTTACGCGTTTTCGGACTTCGTCACCGGGAATGGGGACAGTATTCCTCCGCTGAGGAAAAACGGAGGTGCCTCTTTCATGAGAGGCTTGAGCTCGCTGTCTTCCAGAAAGACCTCGTACCAGCTGCATCAGTAGGGTTTGGCCGTCCTCCGCCTCCCTGATGCGCTGGCGATGTGGCTAGCCTGCAGTATGCTACCCCTCTGATTTTTAATCATGCTGCTGGTTGGGGGCCCCCCCTCTCGGTGAGAGGTGGGTTGGGCTCCCCCAGCTAGAATGAGCTACTGCCAGCCGGGGAAAACCCGGCATTAGTAAGGGTCGAGCCCCCTGGGCGTCTGAGGACCAGGCCTGTGTTCCCACGCCGAAATTGTTACTAGCTGGTTCCGCTAGTTGAAACGTGCTGCGGGTCGAGTCCCCTTCTCGGTGAGAACTGGGCGTGTTGCTCCCCCAGCTGATAACTGCTAGCTGTTCCACCAATGGAACGTGCTGTAGGTCGAGCTCCCGCTGAATGGATGTCTGCTCCCTCAGATCCAGGTTCGTGGCTAGCCACGCCAGCGTGATAGCCGTAGGTGAGACTGATGACTACTCAGAGTTCCATCTATAGGCTGCCCTCCAGAAGTGCCACGAGAACCCCCTAGAACGGTTGTATCCATCTACATATGGACATTCTAAAATCCACATGGTGGTAAGTGGGCACGGTATCTTTGCCCACTTTTCTAGAAATTCCACGAAAGTGGTAAGTGCGCACGTTCTACTTTGCCCACTTCTCTAAAATCCTATATGGTAAGAGTTACGCGCACAGCTTCGTTCTCTTTTTCTGAGTGGTCTAAAACCCCGGTTCCGCCTGGGACCCACTCCTCATGGTATCCTCGAATACCTGCTCTGGCAGGGTGTTTCCACTAGAGGCCTGTTGAGACAGGTCCTTCTGCAAAGTGAGGTAGCCCTGGGTGACAGGCCAAGACTAGTAATTGATCCAATAAGTAGGCTCTTGGTCGTATTCCCTGGAAGGAATCCTTCATGATTCTAGGCCCTGGCGCCGCCTCCGAGGAGGCTTTTTTGGCACAGCTGGTACGGTGGCCCCTGCCATCCCGCAGTTCTGGGCACCGATCCAGCCGCACTCATTACACCAGAGGTCAATCTCGAGAGACTGACTCTCGTGGTAGACTATTGGTAGCCTGGGTTCTACTACCAATCTTGTCCCAGTGGGACCTGCACACTGTGAGGCTCTAGTAATGTCCCTTGGCAGCCTAAGCTTCTGGCCGTAGGGAGTAATGTCACTGACAGCCGTCTAAGTCCAGGACAGGGGCAACTCCCATAGCGATATGGTGTAGTTGGTACTTAGTGGCTCGCCATGGTTCTGGCTTGCACTCCCCTCAGCATGGCGGCGTGGGTATACCGTTCCCCATAGCGACCCCTAGAGGACGCAGTTCGAAGTTCCACGAAAGGGAACGTCTCAGGTTACTTATGTAACCATGGGTCCCTGAGGGGAACGAGACACTGCGTCCTCTAGTTTTTGTGCCATGCTGCGGACACAAGCTTCAGACGAAGAAGTTTGTACTAGTTGCAACGGTAGTGATGTCATGGCTGTCGCCGGCCAAACAAGTTGGTGTTTTTTCAATGTAGGCTTCAGACATGGGTCACGACGAGGCGTTCCCCATAGCGACCCCTAGAGGACGCAGTGTCTCGTTCCCCTCAGGGAACCATGGTTACATAAGTAACCCGAGACGTTTTTTCTTAAATTCTAAGGCAGCATCATGTGTATTTTTCATGAAGAAGGCAATTACAGAATGCATCATTAGGGTGTTGCACTGTTAGCGCTACAAGCTCTACATAAATCAATTGAGAGTTCAGTCTCCCATGCAGAGCAATATTTTGGTGGACCACGTAGGCAGTTGGCAGTTTGAAAGATCACTAGGCTTGGAACAGAGCTGTGGACTTTCATTTCATTCCTCTATTTGTCATTTTATGGTGCTCCTGCTATGCAACCTTCAAAACCATTATGTGCAACATTATGTCACAAAGTGTGGTGCCATTTGGGATGGAGCCACTGTTAATGAACAGTGACATTAGAGGGATATACATTTAAACTATGGTGGTGGCATAGTTTTGATCGATTTGGGTTGTTATCCATCAGAGGTTGTGAGGGAGTGTGAGGCAAAAAAAACCCTACAATATTCTATTTATTGAGCAAGACACTTTTCCAAATTACTGCAATTATTCTATGGTTGGCAACTCTGGATAAAAGTGTCTGCAAAATGACAAAGCACAGTTATTATTCCGACAGTGGGCTTCAGTGTCTCGTGTGAGAATACACAGAATGAACAGTCCATTTACAGGAGAGAACTTTTCCTGTCTTTGTACTGGCATCCTTAATGGCCACACCATCTGCAAGTACTTTATAGCAATTTTACACAACAATACTTGGACTGAACTTACGTCTTCAGTGTCCCTGACGTCATGAGTTCCGTCACAAGGATGATGCACTTGTGTCCTTTCATGGTGGACTTCCAGGAGTCGTAGAAACGGACAATGTTTGGATGCTGCAGGCACTTCAGCATCTCCACCTCTTCACTGAACCGCTGCCGTTCCACTTTCGTCAGCCTTCGGGTCTGTTGAAGAGACACATATTTCAAGTAAATTTATGGGTTAGTTCATTCATGTTCATACATGATGGGACATTGAGTCTGTGGAGCTCTGTACACTTTGTGACTTGTAGGACAGGTCTATGACAACTGAAGTTGAACGTCATTCATGCTGAAAGTGACTTAAGTGGCTGGGAATTCAAAACAACATTTGTTAACCAACCTTAATTTCTTGACTTTAAGAACTGTTGTTATTTAGTCTTTTTTTGCCATTTAGTCAATTTTCTTTGACGTTTAACTAGTTAAATGCAATCTACCCAAGTAGGTCATATTCCTGGCTAGCCCTGGAACAACATTCCTATTAACTAATAAAGTTTTACAGTTAGGTTAAGGGTTGGGGGTTTGAACAATGTTCTTATAAACCAATAATATCCTTCTCATTTCAGAGGGAGGTTAGGGTTAAAATGGGGTGGAAGGTGTTCAAGCTATTATTGTTTCATTGAAATATTGTTCCTTGTACTTAAAAAATAACAGTGCATGGAGCAATTTGGGAGGTCAAAAATTGACATAAAATTATCCATGCAATAATTTTTTTTTTTTTTTACCTAAACTTCATGGGTCACTTGAGACAGAAGTTTCAGAATGGCACTTCAAACTGAGAATAAACGCACCAGAATTCCCTGACAAATCAAAACACAACTTACTAAATTACTGTTAGCAGCTATTCTGTGTTTTTGAAGTATCAGAAATGCAGTAGATGTCAAAATGTGCCAAATCCATAAACTGGCACACAGTCTATGCAAAAATAATCTGTGCTAAGCACATGGAAAAACTGACAGCGCTGTCTTCTTTCATAACTTTGATTTGCAGCTTTTGGCTTTAAAGGCTGAACTGCATAATTTTCTGCAAGAGAAGGAAGTAGTTGACAGAAGTTGTTGGTCAAAACACATATGGCACCCCAGAGTTTGTTTGCATTTCCACATCTGGCTCTCCAGACAGCTTAACCTGTCCTTTCAGTCTCGGACCCCTGAGACAGGTGACAGGTCAACCGGACCAATGACTGCTTCATGCTCATGGTTGTTAGTCTTTAACAAGCAAAAACACACTCAAATTGGATGTTTTTCATCTTTCACACAGAGTACTGATTGTCCAGAATGAGCGCACGCATGAAATATGTTTATTGCTTTAGGTAGACAAGCCTACCGTGAGTGCAAAACTTTGAAATGCTCAGTGAAAAGGCTAATTTCAGGTGCTTAGTCTAATGGATAACATCTTTCTGATAGAACTGAAACATCCTGAATGTGGGGCAAAGACAGTTGGTTATGTAACCAAGGCAGATGAGGACAATCTTGACAGGTTTGGATGAAGTTGGTGGGAGTGAGGGGTGAAGAGTGCATGAGTGTGTCGAGAGTGCATTAATAAGAGTAATGTGGTAATATGGTACTGCAAGGAAAGTAGAAAAGAAGATTCAGTGTCCTGTATGCTAGACAGAGCTGCTGAGGAATGCTGTTGCATCTGTGACAACGCTATTTCAGGACGTACCCCGCTACAGTCCTGGAAAAACAGCTGTGTGAAACTTACTCTCTCCTTCCCTCATTTGCTTTACCTGCCCACCCACAATTTCCCCTCAGATAAGTGGTTCTCAACTGACTTTGCTACACAATAAGTGGTTCTCAACGGTTTTTGTTTAATCAGGATAAGTGGTTGCTTTGCTTCAAGACCAAAATTGCTAATAAAGTAGCATAAAAATTGTGTATATTTTAAGATAAAAAATGTATATTTATCAATAAAATCATGAACTGCTTAGATCCGATAATATGCATAATTATTTACATGAAATAATAATAAAAAAATGGAAATAAAAATAATTGGGTAATTACAACCATTTAAAAAAGAAATCATTTTTCGTAGTAAAAGTGTTTAGATATTGCTTAAAAAAAGAAAGAAAAGAAAAACAGAAAATATCTACTGTTCACGTGGTCATGCTCATCAGCAAAACACTTTCATGGTATAATTCTCTCATTATAAATATAATAATATAATATAATATAATATAATAATCACAAAATGTTGCCGTGTCTGACTGGATGAAGAATCTATAAAACATGTTCTTCTAATCTGTGCTCCCTGGTATGTAGCATAGTCTCGGGCAGAAGCCCAGTTCTGGTGGTTAGTGGACTAGTTCTTAGCTGTGGCTGCCAGTACAATTTAGCACTAAACTAACCACTAATGGGACCACACTCAGAATGACTGCCTTGAGTTTTACTAGAGAGGAAACTGACCACTCACAGAAATATGAATGGGAAAAATCACAACACTCAATATGGAGGCTATAGGAATGCAAGTCTTGCCTTTCATTTAAAAAAAAAAAGCTAACATCTTTTTAGTACAGTTTGTTTATGCTACAATGCATAAGTGCATCTTAAAATACATTACTGAAAACCTGACAGACAGTTTTGGACATTTGGACATGATTTTCTTCTCACAGGCTGCATGCCAAAACAACAACATGACCAGTGTAGTCCGATATAAGAACAAATGACTGAGTCGGTTCTTTTTCGGGAATCAAAAACATACACCAGTGTAGCCCAGTTTCCAAAATTAATGAACTAAGGAATAAAACACAACATGACAAGCTACTGTTTGAAACACTGCCATCAAAATTGGACTCAAATCAAATCAAGTGCTTTTGAATCTAAATTAAATTGGGAAATCTGTGACCAAATCTACTGTCTAATTTAGCTTTTAAGACAAAAACTGCTCATGACATCTCTTCATCAGTTCAGGGACTTTCCATCCAAACTAAGAGTCTGTCTCACCGGAGTCGTTTTTACATGACAGCAAAAAATTGTCCTTGATACTTAAATAATCTTATTTGCACATTCATCAATCCCAAGTGTGGGAAACTCAGCACCACGAGTCAACGCACCTGTTAAACACACTCCATGAGCCATTATGCAACACAAAGTCTAATGCCCATGCAAACAAGAAAAGGTCTTAAAATATACTATGAAGTGGGGTTTCCTTACTTCAGCATGTCCAAAAATGCATAAACAGAGAACATGTTAAACTGGCTTGGTAACGCAGAACCTGTAATTGTAGTTTATGATGGCGGTCATTGGTGGGCTGTGATTGGTGTTTCTAAGAGCGGCCGTGACGTCAAAGCAGACATATAACGTATTCCAGACGCGGGAAACAGCACACACGTGCAATGTGCATTTACAGCACAGATCATAAACTGGGAAGAATGGAGGATGTGATGTAGTATTGTTTGAGCATGTGTGTGGGTTAGAAAGCCCTGCTCTTTATCAGGAACAAGCTGTTTCAGCTCTAAGAAAACATCATTGACTTCCCACAAATGTGTCCGTGAAGAGAAATAGCATGTTAAATAAAAAGAAAAGATAAGAACTGCCACAAGGAAGATACATTTTTCAATTGGTTTTCCCCTTAAGCCAGCAATTAAAGTTAATTGCTTCCTTAAAAGTAAAACTAACTGAAAAATTCATTACACTATTTAAATCATTTAATGAAGAAATCTCGAGTAAAAATAACATAAAAAGATAAATATAAAACCAAACAATACAAAAATCGAAAATGTAACTTTAATACCACTTTAATGAGTATATATATATATATATATATATATATATATATATATATATATATATATATACAGTATATCAAACATAATATTATGACAATGCAATATGGGGTGCTGTGTGTACATTAATGAGGGAAAAAAAATAACTTAAATGATTTTAGCAAATGGCTGCAATATAACAAAGAGTGAAAAATGTAAGGGGGTCTGAATACTTTCCGTACCCACTGTATATATATATATATATATACAGTATATCAAACATAATATTATGACAATGATGAACTTACTGTATATTTATAGTGCTTAAACACATTACTCAAAATATGTGAAGAATTTAGGTCATTCGATTAATATACCTAATAACGTACTACGTGTCATGTGCTGTTTGTATTCCCTTGGCTTTCATAGGAGCTAATAACACAATCCTTTATGATCGATTTTCCTCCAGAAGTTTGTGCTTCTAAATGATAGTAAGTTGTGCTGGAGGCGTTGGCGTGACTCATTCCCCTTTACTAGTCGAGTGTGCACGTCCTGCCTGAGGGAAGGGAGGCTGTCTGGTGGAATGTCTCATTAAAGCAGCATCTCGCTCATAAAGCTCTCAGATCTATAAAAGAGACTGGGGATCCTGCACATCTAGATCTTCCTTATTATAAGATTTCACTGGAGCCTCTGGCAGCACTAGATTACCACATACACCCGGGATAACAGCTAAAGTCAGAGCCAGCGACAAAAAAACAGCCATCAATAGAATGATAGTTCATTTTTATTATAGAAGCATGGAGTATTAAGGACATAAAGACTCTGAGAATAAGGACATAAAGTGTTTGATCATACTTAAGTTAACGTAAATCAAAGTGTTTTTCTTTGGCAACTGCAGGCTGTTAAATGACTGGCAGAACTATAAGGGTTTATTGTTTTCCAGCAGTAAAAGGGAACAATTTTTTCATATATTTCAGGCAGCGTCTATTTACTACAGTATTGAGGGGCAGTTTTAAGTTAATATATCAACTTGACCTGGTTTGACATGTTTAATACCAAACAGTATGGATAAATGTAGGTTTTTAATCTAAAGTCTTTTTATTCTGGCCCAAGAACTGGCCTGGAGCCAGTGAATATGAATGTAAACTGGAAATCATGTTTGACAGACATATAAAATGACTAACCACTGTTTGTTTTGTTTTATGTGCCATTTAAATGCATCTGAAATACAAACATCTTTTTACTATCCTTTTATTTTGTGATGGCTGATCAGCTCAGTCTAATTTTTCCAACAGGGAAAACTACTTATATTAAACGAATTATATTATACTATTTATATTTATAATAATAATACAAATACAAATTATGTATTCTAATTGCTCAATTGCCTTCTAACCTTAATTGGCAACCAAGTAAATCTTACTTAATACTCTTCAAAAAACAAACA